TCCATTACTTTGTTAATCCTGTCCCACTGCTGTTGTTACTCAAAGTGTCGTCCTCGCCTATAATGCATGACAGGTCAGTATATATGTTGTTATCAACTTCAGCCAACTGGTGTTAAACCAAGGTAAAGTCTATTTAGGTCAGGCTTCACGGTGAAAGAGCTGAAACTGGTTAAGAAGGCTTGTCAATGTAAAACAACTGAAACTTTCTCTGCATCATGATTATCCAAAAGAACCAAAAAGTATATAATGCAGAAACTATTATAAAGACCAATAAAATCCACCCTTTGTCGAAAAAAAGTATTATAAAGATCATACGTAGGAAGATTAATTCGGAGGTCCCATTTTTAAGAGACGATGAGACCCGAAGGGGGGTCTGTAGTGTGTAGCTTTACATGTTGTAGCTCTGAAATTACCTCTAAATAAGTGACTGGCTCTGAAAAGACGTGTGTCGACATATAAATCTGCTTATGTAGAATTCTTTAAATAACATAGACTGTCTTTCTCTCCATAGGCTTCCTTTTCTCATGATGTATATCAATGAAACAAAATAGTAAATTTCAGTATGCCTAGGAAGGCAGGACCATGTCTTTCTGTCTCTAGAGGCTTCCTTTACTCATGATGTATATGAATGAAACAAAATAGTAAATGTCAGTATGCCTAGGAAGGCAGGACCATGCATCAGCAGAGAACTCATGGCCTTGGATACAGATATATTCAGCCGCACTAGCTTCGTCGACGTCCTCCGGCGATGGCGGGAGGGAAAGACGGGAGGAGAGGGGGTTAGGCGGTTGAACAGCGACGCCACCCGTGTCGCCCAGGAAGAGCGACATGGGGGCAAAGCGCTATTTTCCGTCTATCAATCAATTTGTTACTGACCACCAGATTCCAAAAACAATCTATAAATATACTCCAGTGTTAATTAATCTTTTATCTCCTGCAAAGGAAATGCCCTGTTTTTCTTACTCAAAAAGTCATACAGTAGTACTCCTAGTTTGCTCAATGCCAGAGCAGATCTTCTCAGCTAAGATCCCAAGTAATACCTCTAGGTACCTACACATCATAAGATATGTTATAAGTAGTACTGGTAATGGTCCTTCTAGAGAACATAATGTTAATGTATGCTAGAGAACATAATGTAAATTGACGGTATGAAAATTTGCATGTCCTGTGAATTCACATGAAAAATTACAAGTATTGTGAATTCACTTGAAAATTTTAAGCATTAACTATAATTTTCGTGTGCATTGACACAAGTCCTCTCTTGAGTGAACTACTAGTGTTGTACTCGGCACATGACACTAATATGTTAACTAAGGGACTCTGAATGTCAGCATGTGAATATAAGTCAAGATTTAGGAACTTGCTGTTGAGATTTCAGAAGCAAAGCTAAAAGAAGAAAGCATTAGAAATTACAGTACTCATTCTCAGCAATCTGATAAACATTAAAATAAGTTCTTGAGAGGGTTCTGAGCTAACATAAAAAGAAGCTAAAATAAGTTGAGTAAAAAACAACCACATCAATCTGGGAAGTGCTGGAATATTACCTACAGATAGTGTTCTGTTCCTAAGTTCTTAATTTTAGACAATAGTGGTGATCATAGTGTTCTATTCAATATTGGAATATTGGCTAAAATAAGTTCTAAATTTTAAATAATTTGGAATATTACTTCTATGTTCTATCTCACCAAAAGAGATAAACATCCATGAGCTAACTGAATTCAGTCAAAATTCAGTTAAATTTACTGTCAAAATTCAGTAAATATTCTGAACCCTGCATCTTTTTCCCTTTCAACAATTAGGTGCCAGAATGATATCTGAACATAGACACGTGATATGCTGATCAGGTGTGAGAATGATATCTGATTCGACAAGGTTAGCCAAATTTCCCACATAGTTTTGGGGCAGTTCTATCTATCTAAAGTGATTGATGGCCTACCACTGAGAGCTGCAGCAAAAAGGTGCACTGTCTACAGTACAATGCTACTCGAGACAATGTGTTTACACCAGACCATTCACAGCAATGGCAGCTATGGATGGCAATGTGACAGACATACAGACAGACTTATGGCTGCTCATTTGCATTCAGGAACCTATTGGCCATCGGATCAGACGGGATTGGATTGCTCACCGTTGTGGAGCTCGCCGGCGAGCAGCACGGTGGTGCGCGGCTCGGCGAGGTGACCGAACGTCGCCAACAGGTCGCCGACGGCCTCCTCGCTGTACACCTAATTTTTAGCCTATTTGCCCTGTAAAAAAATAAAAATAAATAAAAAACCTAAATGGGCCGTGTCGGGCCGGCACACGTGCCCAGCCTCCAGGCCCAGGCATGGCCCTAGGCGGACCACATGCCGGGCACGGCCCGATTAAGCACGTGCCGGGCCGGCCCACCACAGGCCAGGCACGCGTGCTAACGGGCCGGCCCACCAAGCACAACCCATTTGGTCAGGTATACGTCGGCGCAACGATTCGCCGGTTGCCCTAGGACCGTACGATCCCCAGGATTCTAGCCGTCGAATGTGCCTTCTCCATTCGTCCTTCTTCTCCATCGTCTTCCTAAAAAAAATTGCAGCGCCGCACAACGCAGCGAGAGGAGGCTGCGGCGAGCGCCATTGACCCCCGCAGTAATTCGCCGTCGGTCGCTGTAGCTTCGCCGGAGGTCGGCGCCTCCCATGCGTCTCTCGTCGGGCGCCACAACCTCCACCCTCCCCACATGCGTTTTGCTGCGCTGCGGAAGATCACCAGCGTTGGCGGCGGCGACCAGCCATGGATTTTTCTCGAATCGTCGGATGTGGATGCTGGAAACATATTTGAAATATGTTGGATTAGAGATGTTGCATCCAATGACGGTTTTTGTTGGAACCGGAGATGCGGCTAGAAACGCGGTGGTCGTCGTTTGTTACAACTATATCGGGTAAAAGTTGCATCCACGTTTGCGCAGAGCTGCAACCTTTTCACACCGGAGCTACATCGACGACATATGTTGACGAATGTTACACTGTACATTGAACATCATCCATGTTCGCGAAAGTTGCAACCAGCGAGCGTGTGACCGCGCAGGATGGTTTTGTTTTTGCTACAACCGACTTCGTTTTCTTTGCTACTATCAGCTTCGGTTTTCTTGCTACAACCATGGCTGATGGGCGTGGTGACCGCAGGCAGCGAGGACGGGTAGCTCTACTCCAAGCAACACTCGTGTGAGGACGGCGTCGTGGATTTGTGCTACATGCTACAACCGGCATTGGAAATCGCTACCACCGCGTGCCGTATAGCTACAACCGCAATCGTGATTTGCTGCATCGCACAATGATGTGTTTTTTTTTGCCGGAAGTGATGCTCGTATTTGCTGGAATAGGGCAAGCGAGATGTTGCAATGGCGAGGGATCTGAGCGACGAGCTGCGACCCACGGACATGAGCGGCGGCGAGCCTGCCGGTGAGCTGCAGCCATCTCCACCGGAACAGCAGGTTGCATGAGTGACGAACGACAATGAGGATGGCCAGCAAGGGCGGTGAACATCGACGAGGACAACCGATGGGGATGGGGACTGGTGACGAGGACGACCGGCGTGGGCGGGAAGACGGCCGGCCCACGAGATGAGAGAGGGAGCAGCGCAGCCACACAGGGTGGTCCCGGTCAGCCACGCATCCCACCACACGAGAGGGCTGCCGTACGATGAAAGCAAATCGAAAGGTCGCGCGCGACCGGCCGAGCATTCGGCCAGCGTGTGGATTGTAAACGTTTTCTTTGAATCAAAGTGTACATGAAAGGTTTACTTCGTGCAGACGGAAGCTAAACTGTAGTGCTATCAAACGGAGCCGAGACTATATTTCAGTTGTCGCTAGAGAAGTTGCCAAATAAATAAATAATCATCACGAGAGTTCCACTTCCACACTGCAACGCAATGCATGGTCGTTACCAGTACCACTCGTGCTCTGGACAGGACCACCCATGGCTGCGCTGCAGCCACAAGATTCTTGGATGGATCGCGCGCGAGAGACGTGGAGCGCGCGCCCGCCGCACACGACAAGCCCACGCGCGCACCACCAATAGTCCAGCCAGTAGATAACGCACGCCCTGATCGAAAGACACCAAGATCGCAATGTCTGGTGCTGCTGACACAGCTGCGGCCGCGGCCGTCGCCGCCGTCGCCGGCTCGTCGGGTGCGTTGCCGCTCAGCGGACGCGTGGCCATCGTGACCGGCGCGTCGCGCGGCATCGGGCGAGCCATCGCGGCCCACCTCTCCTCCCTCGGCGCGAGCGTCGTCCTGGGCTACGCGGCCAGCGCGGCCGAGGCCGACGCGCTCGCCGCGGAGCTCCCGCGCGCCGTCGCCGTAAGGGCCGACGTGTCCGAGGAAGCCGGCGTGCGCGGCCTCTTCGACGCCGCCCAGTCGGCCTTCGGCTGCGCGGCGCCGCACATCCTGGTCGCCAACGCCGGCGTGCTCGGCGACAAGTACCCGCCCCTCGCCGGCACCGCCACGGCGGACTTCGACCGCGTGTTCGCCGTCAACACACGCGGCGCGTTCCTGTGCCTCCGCGAGGCCGCCAACCGGCTGCCCCGCGGCGGCGGCGGCCGGATCGTGGCCGTGACGTCGTCCGTGGTCGGGTCGAACCCGACGGGGTACTCCGCCTACACGGCGTCCAAGGCGGCCGTGGAGGCGATGGTGCGGACGATGGCCAAGGAGCTCAAGGGCACGCGCGTGACGGCCAACTGCGTGGCTCCGGGGGCCACGGCCACGGACATGTTCTTCGCCGGGAAGAGCGACGAGACGGTGAGGCGGACCGCGGAGACGAACCCGATGGAGCGGCTCGGGGAGGCCGGCGACATCGCACCGGTGGTCGGCTTCCTCTGCACCGACTCCGCCGAGTGGGTCAACGGGCAGGTCATCCGGGTCAACGGCGGGTACGTCTGATGATAATCTGTTGGCTGGCCTGCCATGCTATTAGCCATTAGCCATCACGGTGGGAGCGAAATAATGCGTCTGGATGTTGCAGAAAACTGAACAAATAAATCTTGTGGGAATTTGTGCTTAGCATAATTTACATTCCGTTTATTGATCTATCACAGTACACGACAAGCATCAATACCTGGAATCATCAAAGTACCTTCGACAACAAAGGGCAAGAAATCACACTAAAAATGGATCGACGGCCTTACACACGAAAATACTGCTTGCTTATCTCACACCTGATACATACTCATTCATACAAATTCATATACACTATTTGCATTTCTAGTTTATATGAATCAGACGCCGTTGTAGATTGTCCTGTTTCATCGGTCAGCTCCTTGTAGCTCTCGGGTTGGCTTCCTTGAACCACCGATGCTTGAGCGCTTGCTCCGCCGTCAGCCTCTTCTCCGGGTTGCATCGTAGAAGACCGCTCAAGACCTCGAAACCTGCCTCCGACAATGTCGGCGGGCCTTTGATCTTGGCCTCAGCCGAACATGGAAACTTGTTGCGCAGGAAGCTTCCTGGTTGGCATCCGCCGGGTAGACGACGCCCATCGTATCCTGACCACTCTTTGATGTCAGCAGTGCCAAGAAGATCCAAGATCTCGCTGAGGTGCTCCGTGTCTGAACTCCCATGGAAAGGGTGCTTGCCGGCGAGGAGCTCAGCCATCATGACGCCAAGAGCCCACGAGTCGACATGCTCATCATAATCCGTGCATCCGAGGAGGAGCTCAGGTGCACGGTATCCTCGTGTCCCGACGGGGTTGGAGTAGGGCGGCCCATCGGCCATGCTGCACGACAACCCCAGGTCGCATATCTTGAGGTTCCCATGACCGTCGACTAGCACGTTCTCCGGCTTGAGGTCGCGGTGCATGAGGCCGAGACGATTCATCCTCCTCTCGCCTGCGAGAAGCTGCCTCATGAGCAGGCGAACCTCCAGCTCGGTGTGCCTCCTCCCGAAGCGGACATGCTTGATGACATGCCTGAGAGTTGGCCCCACGAACTCCATGGCGAGGAACGCCTCGCCGCTGAGGTGGCCGGAGGCGCGCGGCTGCACGATGGATGGGTGGCCGCTGCACGCCTCGAGGGCGCTGACCTCGCCCGCGAAGTCGGAGAGGTAGCGGTCGACGTCCCGGCCGTGAGCGCCGTTCGTCCGGAGGCACTTCATCGCCACGACCTCTCCCGTGCGGCGGTCCCTCGCGCGGTAGACGACGCCGAAGGTTCCCGCGCCGAGCACCTCGAGCCGGTGGTAGCGGCTGGCTATTGGGGAGTTGGAGTCGTTGCTAGTGGCCGCCGCTCCTTGATTCTTGCGCGCTGCCGGTGTGGCCGTGACGGCGTGGTCTAGGGCAGCCACGCCCACGCCCACGCCCGGCGGCGTTGAGGTGGACCATCCCATGTTTGGGCGAGGAAACTCGTGGAGATGGATGGCCTGATCGATCGGCAACTAGTAGAAGCTAGCTAGACGGAGGTAGGGAGAGATTGGTTTTGGTTTCTAATCTCACAAGGGAGGCCGTATGCATATGCCAATGTACTATATGTAGACGGAGAGCCTGCATTCCACCTACGACTCGGTTATGGAATTCTATTCGAACTTGGACAGACAGGGAACGGCTGGACTGGAAGGCTCGTGCATGTGCATGTTAATTGGGTTTAGGCTCCAGGGTGAGGGAGGCGTAATATGCACCCAGCCAGCCGGCCATTACTCGTACGTAGCGCGCGCATGTTAATTGGGTTTAGGCTCCAGAGTGAGGGAGTGCGAATTCTATACAAACTCGGACAGACAGGGACCGGCTCAACTCGTGCTTCCTTGGAACGGTATGTGCATGCTAATTAAGTTAGGCTTAGCTTGAGCCTAAGCCTAAATAGGCTTGAGCTAATTAGGGTCCTATACAAAGGTTAGTTACATGCGCCCAGATGTACCGCCGCATCGATCGTTGCAACACACGGATGCGCACCGACTAAGGCCTTGTTTGGTTCAGCTTTTATCGATGGATTCCGCTGCCGCGCAGCAGAATCTGAACCAAAGGGCGAACCCAGCAGAATCCGATTTCAGAAATCCGCTGCCAAAATCTGAACCAAAAGCGAAAGCAGCCCAGGACCTGCTTTTCAAAATCTGATTCGGCTGCGGGCCAAAATCTAAAAAAGTTGTATCAGCTGATTTGCCAAATGACCTACATCTTTTTCACATGAGATTTTCCACAGCTGTTTTTCCACATCAGTTTTTTCACAGCTGCTTTTAGAAATCAACGGCAGAACCAAACATGTTCTAAGTTTTTTTATCGGAGCCGGGATGTACCGGTGCTTGATCCATCCTCCGTCGTTTTCATCAAGATCCGTGCCGGTTTTATACTCTATTTTCAGATATCAGACTACATATAGCAATACATGTACTAGTGTCAAATATTGTCAGCTTTTATAGAAGATAGAGAGAGAGAGTTAGAGTAGAGACAACGGTGCATGCATGCATTCACTCACGGGTACATATGACATGCATTTTATTTTCATCCTCATATTTTTAATGACTTATATCTTTTGAACCAAATGTCCATTATTGAAACTTTTTGTATATTCAAATTTGTGGTGACAAGATCTACAGAACAAGATCAATTTTGGATATGTTTGAAATATATTTAATTTTATATGTTTCAATTATCTTTGAAATCACTTTCATAAAACACTAAATTGTTTCACTATTTCATAAAAGTTTTTTTTTAGTGTTTCGCTCATTTTCACAAACTGGAATATGAAACTCACAAAGACACAGATATATTTGATATAGTAGTAAAATAGAAGTTTAATATATTCAATTTAGACGTGTTTGACTGCAACTTAGACGTGTTTGAAATACTCAATTTCACATATTTCAAATAAACCTATTTCACTAATTTCTTATTTTTATATTTTAATTATCTTTTAATATCGCTTTCATAAAACATAAGATTGATCCTCTATTTCATAAAAGTGTTTTTGACTGCTTCGCAAATAGGAATTAAAAAATCATTTCACTCATTTCAAAATAGATTTCACACATTTCAGAAAACACATTACTCTCATTTGCAATACTAATTTCACTGCAAATTTAAGAAATATATTGAAATATATTCCGCTCATAAAAAATATCAGTTTCAAACACTGAAAATTAGTTTCACAACAAAAATTGGTTTTATTTCACTTTTATTCAAATAACTTATTTCACTCATTTCAGAAAACACACTGCACTCATTTACAAAATATAGATTTCACCCATTTCACTAGTTTCAGAAAACTGATTTCACTCATTACAAAATATATATGAGAAACTAATTTCACTTCGTATTTATGAAAAAAATATTGAAACATATTTCACTCAACAGAAATATTAGTATCACACAATGAAAAAGTCGTTTCACACGAAAAAGATATATTTCATTTTTTTCAAATAACTCATTTCACTCATTCAAAAAACACACTACAGTCTCTCAATTGAAATAATATATTTCACTTGTTTCAAAAAACTGATTACACTTATTACAAAAGATAAATTTCACTAGTTTCAGTAAAGCACATCAGAATTACTCCATTGAAGAAACAATATCACAAGCTAGAATATGAAACTCACAAAGAAAACTATATTCGGAAAAGTGTTTCAATCATTTCAATAACTGATTTCAATCATTTCGAAAATTGTAATTTGAAATGAGTGAAATTAATATTTTGATATGATTGAAATAGTAAAAATTAAAATAGTTTAAATATATTCAAGATTGGTATAATTATAAAGATCTTATGTTCAAGAATTTGAATATATGAAAATTTTAAATAATAGTAAAAAACTGTAAAAAATATTGGTCATCTAAAAATATAACCAAAAATAAAATGCATGGATTTGTTTGAGAGAGAGGAGAGATGCTGCATGCATGCGTACATTCCACTACAAAAAGTATTGTCTCTCCTTGACATGGACCCTACTAGTCTGGCATTGATTTGACTATATATAAAAGGTCACCTGTCTTAATACATGATTAACATATGGATGAGCCCTACTTATGCACAGATTATAAAGCATGTGGAGGATGGATGCGGCTTCGGTACATCCCGCCTCCCGCCTTCGGTAAAAAGGAGTTTGCGGGATGCGCACCAGTTGTGAAGCGGACGCATATCAGTATATCACGTTTACTCCATGACGCACGGCCTCAACTAGACTACTCCTGTTCAACACCGCAAGCTCGACTAAAACAAAAAACACTCAAAGCGACCGGCCTATGCATGCCGTAATGTGTGTGCATGCATGGACCGGTGTGATCCTTTGGTAAATCTATATTTTGTTAATCTGGTTATATGCATGCCGTAACTAGTGAAATGGGTGAAATCTAACCAGATAAGCAATGTGATCCTTTTTTACTTATGTGGCGCGTGTGATCTTGATAAGTGTGCCATGTGATCCTTTGGGGACTCGGGGAGCTTTCAGATAACAATATCTTATAATTTTCTCTTTTTTTTTGCAAAGATTCCCAGCCAAAAGGAACAAAAGCGACAAGCTTCCAGAGAGCATAATTTCAAGTCCCAACACTCATAACCATGGCCTCCTCCTCCCACCAAGAAGAACTCCATGAACAAGGCCAGGAAGACCACCACGACCAGCACGGCGACCAAATCACCGCTCCACTTCGTAAGCCGAGCCATCGGCTCAATCTTTTTCTGGGCGTCAACACTGGAAGACGCCGACTGATTAACGTTGCTTGACTTCTGGTGCAGTGCAGCCATCGGCGACGGCGTCGCCTAGTTCGCCGGAGGAAGGAGAGGAGAACTCGCCGGTGGAGCAGGTGGCGCTGACGGTGCCGGTGGGAGACGACCCGTCGACGCCGGTGCTGACGTTCCGGATGTGGGTGCTCGGCGCGACCGCCTGCGTGGCGCTCTCCTTCCTCAACACCTTCTTCGGGTACCGCAAGGAGCCGCTGGAGATCACGGCCATCTCGGCGCAGGTCGCCGTGGTGCCGCTGGGCCGGCTCATGGCCGCGGCGCTCCCCGAGCGCGCCTTCTTCCGGGGCCGGCGGTGGGAGTTCACGCTCAACCCGGGGCCCTTCAACGTGAAGGAGCACGTGCTCATCACCATCGTCGCCAACGCCGGCGCCGGCAGCGTCTTCGCCATCAACCTCGTCACGGCCCTCCGCGTCTTCTACGGCAAGCCCATCTCCTTCTTCGTGTCCCTTCTCGTCGTCCTCACCAGTCAGGTTCTTCGTACTTCATAGCTGATATTCAAGGTGCCTTCAGTGGTGGAGTGGAGCATGAATGAAGTGGTACTCTGCTCGGCCATGGATGTAGGTGCTGGGGTTCGCGTGGGCGGGCATATTCCGGCGGTATCTTGTGGAGCCGGCGGCGATGTGGTGGCCGTCCAACCTTGTGCAGGTCTCCCTCTTCAGGTATTATCTCTGAATCTGCCATAAATTAGTACCTAATAATAAATACAACGTCACTTCACACAGATTATTAGTAGTATAATATCACAGTTTTATTGCAGTTTGCAAGCATATAATTTCTTATACGTACCTAGATCAGCCACTGTACAGTGTCGTAGCATCATGCCTGACGAATTGTTCTAGCTAATGATTGAGTGGTAGCGGGTCATGGAGTCGTCGCAGCCTTGAATGTTAGGTAGTGTGAATAGTATTACTGTAAACATTCGATTCTATCACTTTCCTGTGCAATCACTTAGACACTGACATGAAATTGACGCTGTCACAAAAAGTAGATGTTAACATCCATATATATTGCCTTACAAAACTTCTGGATCGAGCTACGAAAATGGACAGAAATCAATTACCGATTCAAGAATAAAACCATTACTGAAAGAAAGAAAGCTTTAAAGAACAGAATAATTTATTACCACTTCCAAGATTCTGTGAAGCTAACGACAATAACTTTACAAGGGGCAAAAACAGGAAGCTAGAACGCAACATCAGGATTAGATTGCAGTAAATCCAAAGATTCAATCACCTACTGTATTATTTGACCAAAATGCAGTCTCTTTTACCAGTTCCTCCTGAACTGAGGTCCACAATTTGTAAATGCATGGATAAATTTGTGACTTCGGAAATTAGCAAGCACGCCCATCCAAACAGAAACCTTACATGTTTATCAAGATAGTCGTAAATAACACCTCGGAAAAATTCAGCACTTTGTCAGGAAATTTGTAACAGTTTGTTGAAATGAAACCTCTACGAACTAATAAGAACATAGAATGAGCACTACTGATGTGTTTATGAACAAGTAACTTACAGATTCATGGATCATGATATATATGCTGATCAGGGCACTTCATGAGAAGGAACGAAGGCACAAAGGTGGAATGACGCGCACTCAATTCTTCATGGTGGCATTCGGGTGCAGTTTTGCCTACTACATCTTTCCAAGCTACCTGTTTGAGATGCTCACTTCCATTTCCTGGATCTGCTGGATCTTTCCCACCTCTGTAGTCGCTCAACAGCTTGGCTCGGGCCTCCACGGCCTTGGCATAGGTGCAATTGGGCTTGACTGGTCATCTATCTCCTCGTACCTTGGAAGCCCTCTCGCTAGCCCCTTGTTTGCCACTGCCAACATTGCTGCGGGCTTCTTCATCTACATCTACGCCCATCGCCTATTGGTTTAACGTCTATGAGGCGTGGAACTTCCCCATCTTTTCAGATGGCCTCTTTACGGTGACAGGTCAGAAGTACAACATCTCTAGTATTGTGGATTCCGAGTTCCACTTCGATGCAAATGCCTATGAGAAGAATGGGCCACTATACATAAGCACCTTCTTTGCTGTCAGCTATGGTCTTGGTTTTGCATGCCTGACCGCAACGATTGTCCATGTTCTCCTTTTCCATGGAAGGTAATTTCTACTATGTGCTTCCTTTGTCTTTTGAGCAAAAGTAGATATACATGCGACTAAACTTGCAATACTTGTGTCCAGTGAAATTTGGGAGTTAAGCAAATCAGCTTTCCAGGATAGAAAAATGGATGTACACACAAAGCTTATGAGGAGATACGGGCAGGTTCCTGAATGGTGGTTCATTTGCATCCTTGTCGCCAGTGCTGCAATCACCGTGTTCACTTGTGAGTACTACATTGAGCAACTTCAGTTACCCTGGTGGGGGATACTGCTTGCATGTGCCCTTTCCATTTTCTACACCCTTCCAATTGGAATCATCACAGCAACAACCAACCAGGTATATATGGACTCCAAACTTGAACGCACATGGATACTATATGTCTTACAGCTCTAGCTAGGAGCAGCCAGCAGTTTAGCTATTTATTTTATATCATATTGACAGACTCCAGGTTTGAATATCATCACGGAGTACATCATGGGTTACTTATATCCTGGACGACCTGTTGCAAACATGTGTTTCAAGGTATATGGCCACGTTGCCCCTCGTCAAGCTCTAGCATTTCTGCAAGATTTTAAGTTGGGCCACTACATGAAGATTCCCCCAAGGACCATGTTTATGGCTCAGGTCAGCTACTACACTAGTCACACGAACAACGACCGTTACTTGTCCAAAGTCAATCACATTTAATTTTTTCCCTTGTATCAATTGTACGTGTCCCTAGCTAAAAGTGAAGTTATTGAAAATAACAGGTTGTAGGCACTTTGATATCAGCATTTGTGTACCTTGGAACAGCATGGTGGATGATGGACACAATCCCCAATATATGCAACACCGAGCTCCTCCCAGCAGGCAGCCCTTGGACCTGTCCTTACGACCATTTATTCCACGATGCATCAGTCATATGGGGCCTTATCAGCCCACGCAGAATATTCGGCGATTTGGGAACTTACTCTGCTGTGAACTGGTTCTTTTTGGGCGGTGCCATCGCTCCCCTCCTTGTCTGGCTTGCACACAAGGCATTCCCAGGCCAAAAATGGATCTTGCTTGTCAATATGCCTGTGCTGCTCGGAGGAATCAGTCATATGCCTCCTGCCACTGCAGTCAACTACACGGCGTGGATATGCGTTGCATTTTTGTCAGGTTATGTGGTCTATAAGTACCGACATAACTGGTGGAAGAGACACAATTATCTCCTTTCAGGTGCCCTGGATGCTGGTTTGGCATTCATGGCTGTCTTGATATATTTATGCCTGGAACTAGATAACATCACTTTGAACTGGTGGGGCAATGTTTCAGATGGATGTCCTCTGGCTTCTTGCCCCACTGCAAAGGGTATAATTGTAGATGGTTGTCCGGTGCATAATTGAGAATATTCTCATCCACGGCAGGCCTGGGGATAAAATTGAGAGCAAAAAAAGATGAATGAAGGCTGCACGGATGAGAGGTTTTGCATGATATTCTTCTTTGTATATAAAGATTTAGAACAGTCACTAAAGGTCTGCATTTAGAAAGAATAAAGAAGAAATAATTGCTTTCAGGTGCCCTTCATGCTGCTTTGGCTTTAAAGGTCGTCTCAATCTATTTATACATAGGAATAGAGAACATCAGTTTGGATTGGTGGGGAAATGGTTTGGATGGTGTCTTGCCCCACTGCAAAGGTATAACTATAGAAGAATACCCGGTACATAAGTAAGAATCTTCTCGTCCATGGTTGAGGATAAAAACTGAATTGTCTTAACGATCTGTTTGGATGTCTGTATTGAGGGGCTCCGTATTGAATTGGTTGGAATACCAAATCAGCAACGAAACTGCCATGGGCATGAATACCAATTAATTGTTTAGATGTTCACTGAATTGGCCCATGGAATCTTAGTGAGGCTTTAATGCCAAATCTTGTTTGGATGGCAAACTCTGTAACTGCATAGTAACGTCAGTATGAAGATAATGCCTTGCACATTTGACTTGCTAAAAGCCAGGTACCCAAATTCGGATAATTCGAGGAGAAAACATTGCCTTGCACAATTATTCAAACAAACAAAAACAAAATTTGATACAGGTAGAAGGTTGCAATTTGCATCAGAAAAATCAACTGTTCTACGGCAAAGATTAAAATCTATCACTTCTTTCAGTTATTATCTAGAAATGAGGTACGTAGAGTGCATTCGGTAAACACATTCCTTATGTTCAGGGTGATAGCAGAATGTGCACCACTGACGATAGGAGGTAACGATAATGTAGTTCTGCAAGCTTGCTGTATGAGTCTCGCCTTTTATAACAAAACCATGCGCCTTGTAAGAAAAATATGAGAAATGCAAACATAATACCATGAAATTGGTTTACCTGTTGCAACCATATAACGGGGTAAACTGGAGAGTTCATAATTATATGCAAAAATTTCTTCAACGTCATGTCTGGCTAAGAAAGAAAGTGTAAGCTATGAGTGACCAACTGTATGTACAGAGAGTGTATTTAAGGGAAATCAGAACTCAACACCAAGGGTATAGAACTTCAGAAAATTATACATAGGTCCCACGTTCACAAGTAAGAATATTAACTGAAGCAACGGCACTGTAAACTGTGGCATAGCTACTTACTCTGCAGAAATCCATCGATGCATCCGCTCTGAACTTTTGCTCCTGAACCAATGCTGGGCAGAGGATGAACAGGAGCCAGTGAGGCGGGGAAGGGGAAGAAGAAGAGGGCAGATGACGGCAGCGCACAGCTGGAGAAGATGGGAATCG